GGGTGGCCTTGAGCTGGTGAGACGCCTTGAGTTGTCTCACCGGGGAGCTCCGAGGGGAGAGATCAAGTTCAGTGAGGGGAGGAAGGGCCACGGGGAGGGCCTTTTCAATACTACCATGGGCGAACCGAGAATGGGATCCAGGCATGTTCATGAGTGTTTTGCCCTGATGGGGAGGGAGATGGGTCAGCTAGTGACCCTCCCACGTGAATCCCACTCTGCATAATGTTACAGTCTTCTGGCCGGGGACAGCAGAGGTAAGAGGACACTGGAGCCCACCCACCCCCAGCTCAACAGCCAACGTGCATTAGGTCGACTCCTCCCCATCTGGCCATCGATGGAAAACTGTTTCCCCTCCGGTGGCTTTTCCTCCTGCCGTCCTGGAGCTTCTGTGTTACCTGTCCTTGCGTTCAGGCATCCAAACTCGCTGTCACATTACTGGGGAAACGGTGACCGCCCTGCAAAGGTGAATCTAAGGGGCAGGGTGGAGAGCACCGTTCAGCCCTTTGCAAAGGTGCTCTTGGGCTGTGAACGTGCAGAGTCTACCATCAGGCCCCTGCAGATGACAGATCCCCCAGGGTGCCCACTCTTGGGGCCAGTTCTCACCTTTACTCCCCCACCCTCCTACACTGGGGGTGTCTGGTTTGCATCTGTAAGCTGGGGGAACACCAGGACCCTGTTTCAAGGCCTCCGACTGCTGGTGGGACCTACCCACTGGGCAGCGTTCTCCCCGTCCTCTGGGCCCTGCCCGCCCTCCTGGCAGGAGCGTGGCGTGGGGCTCTCAGCCGACATCAGGGACGTCCGCTCGTTGCACGCTTCTTCCTCGCTGTCGGAGGCCATGAACGTGAGCATGGCCCTGCCTCGGGAAGCACCTGGAAAAAGGAGAGCAAGGACCTTGTTCCACCTTCCTGCAAGGAAAGGGCAGCGAAAGGCTGAGGGGGCGGCTGGAGGTGGCCTGTAGACAAGGATACAGGTCTCGGCAAGAGTCCCTGAGACCTGCCACCAAGGCTGCAGCAGCCTCGCACAAGACTGGCCTGGAGCGACTTGTGACACAGGGAGCAAAACGCCCAGCCAGGAAAGTAAGGGCCACTCTGAACTGTCAATGTGCTCATTCATTCAATCAACAAACATCTGCTGAGCACCTGCTTTGCACCAGTGATGGTGCCAGGCTCTGGGGATATACAGGTTGAGTACAGAACACCCTTGTCCTACAAAAACAAAACAGGACACTATCCAGTGTGACACATAATCCAGGCGTTCAGCAAGAGGTTCAGAAGCATAAAGAACCAAGCTCAGGGCCGGCCCGGTGGCGCACTGGAGAGTGCGCCGCTTGGGAGCACGGCGGCGCTCCCG